TTACAGGCACGCACCACCATGCCCAGCTAATGTTTTTGTATTTTTAGTAGAGACGGGGGTTTCACCATGTTGACCAGGATGGTCTCAATCTCTTGATGTCGTGATCCACCCGCCTCGGCCTCCCAAAGTGCTGGGATTACAGGCTTGAGCCACCGCGCCCGGCAACACTTGTTATTTTTTAATCCACTAAGACTTAAGGTTGTTTGTTACTGCTGCAAGACTGATCCTTTCCTGATGCATACGTACTTGATAGATGAGTACCTGGGAACAGTGGGTGCTGTAGATCTTTTACATTAGCACCCCACTCCTGGTAGTTGTTCCAGTATCATTCACATAAACCTAGGAAGTTCCAACCTAATGAATGCCCAGAAGCCCAAGAGGTGGAAATAGAGTGTTTGGTGGACTCCCATCAGTAGTGAGCAAAATTAGCCTCATGAATCTCACACTTTAGGAAGTTGAGTCTGATAATAAACAGACGTCTGGTATACCAAATAGAGGTAGTGCTATTGAGAAAAATACAGCAGGCTAGGGAGGTTAGAGAGGGTCGGGATTAGAGAGAGAGTTGCTATTTTATATAGTGGGATTAGGTTAAGTCTCATTGGGTCAGGGATGTCAGGGAGGAGAGCCATGTAAATATCTGGAGAAAGAGCAAGTGCAGGAATACCTGGAGAATTCAAGGAACAATGAGGTGGCCAGTGTGGCTGACGTGGCATTGAGGATGATGGGTGCAATAGGAGAAAGGAAGGGAGATGGAAATGTAGATAAATGTAGGGACTCGAGGTTTCTTTTTTCCTTTTTTTTTTTTTTGTTAGAGACAGGGTTTCACTCTGTCACCCAGGCTGGAGTGCAGTGGTATGAACATAGCTCACTGCAGCTTTGCACTCTCAGGCTCAAGCAATTCTCCTGCCTCAGCCTCCTGAGTAGCTGATACGATAGATGTGCACCACCATGCTTGGCTAGTTTTTTAAATTTTTGGTAGAAATGAGGTCTTGCTACATTGTCCATGGTGATCTTGAACTCCTGAACTCAAGCAATCCCCCTGCTTGGCTTCCCAAAGTATTAGGATTACAGGCCTGAACCACTGTACCCAGCCAAGATTTTATTTGAAGTAAGATAAAAAGGGCATTGGAAAATTTGGGAACAGGTACGGTATTCTCTGGCTTACATTTCACAAGGATACTTCTGGTTCTATTATCCATCTTATTTTCATGAAGAGCCAATAGGATAGGTTATGCAATGCTTGCCATGATACAGATGAGAAATAAAAGGCCCAGAGATGTTAAGTCAATGGTCAAATGTAGGCAGCTAGTATGTGGCAGTGCTGGACCTCCTAGTTCCCACCATCTGACAACAAAACCTGAGCTCTTGTTTATTATGCTAGGCTTGCCCCAATCCTCTACTATTTCTTTTGGTTTTAGAAAACATGTAAGTTGGAGTAGAGAGATCATGACTGTTGCCTACTATCACTGTTGATTTTGACTCCATCTTTCCCTGATGCACCCTCTAGGATGTGAGAGCTCACTTCTAATGCTCCAGCTGGTTTCTCATTTGTTTAGTGTTATGGTCATTCATCATGGGATTCAAGATCTTTCCTATGAGGAATTGAACTTTCTCTTCTTTCCTTTGCTTGCCACAGTGGATGTGTACCTTTTTTGCACAGAAACCGAATTCAGGACCGACTTTCTGAGTGACCTCATACGAACTCCTCCTTTCTCTTTTCAGACATCGAGAGCAAAGTTATTGACAAAGAATGCAGTGAAGAGAATGTGACTTTGAGTTTGGCAGCTAAAAGGGATAAGATGAAGATCGGGTGTTCCACAATTGAGGCATCTGAATCCAGAGGTACAGTTCCTCTCCTGAGAATACAGGTTATGGTGTATTTCATCAATTAACATTTGTTGGTCACCTTCAAGGCACCAAGACCAGTACCAGATGGTTGAGAACCAATGAGGGCTGAAATGGCGCACACTCTCAGAGAGTTTTTCATCTGCTAGGGAAGTCAGATATTAAATAACCTTATGATCCCGGAGCACTGAGACCTTCACTGGCCTATATGATATGTACTGGTCACATTCAGCTGTTGAGCACTTGAAATGTGATTAATCCAGGTTGAGAGGTACTGTAAACCTAAAATAAACACTGTATTTCAAAGGCTTAGTACAAAAAAAGAAGGATTAAAACATCTCACTCATCATTTTTTATATTTAAAAGAATTTTTTATATTTAAAATAATTTAAAAATAAAATTTAAATTTTTTTTTTTTTTTTAAACGGGGTTTTCACTCATGTTACCCAGGCTAGAGTGCAATGGCACGATCTCGGCTCACCGCAACCTCCGCCTCCTGGGTTCAGGCAATTCTCCTGCCTCAGCCTCCTGAGTAGCTGGGATTACAGGCACGTGCCACCATGCCCAGCTAATTTTTTGTATTTTTAGTAGAGATGGGGTTTCACCATGTTGACCAGGATGGTCTCGATCTCTTGACCTCGTGATCCACCCACCTCGGCCTCCCAAAGTGCTGGGATTACAGGCTTGAGCCACCGCTGGGATTACAGGCCATAAAATTTAAATTTAAAAATATTTTTTATTTTAAAATCATTTTTATATTTAAAATAATTTAAAAATTAAAAAATTTTAAATTTAAAAATATTTTTAAATTGTTTTAAAAAATGTAAATTAATTTAAATTATATTTAAATATATTTTTTAATTTAAAAATATATTTTCTCTCTGTGTATGTGTGTGTTTGTGTCTGTGTAGGGTGTGTGTGTGTGTGTGTGTGTGTGTGTGTGTGTGTAAGTCTTCCATAATAACAAGCAAACGATTTCCCCCCGTTTTTCATTTGGGGAAACCTGCAGGAACCACTGGTGTGGCTTTTGTCTCCTTTGTGGGTGTGGAGTCTGTTTTAGACAAGCGCTTCTTCCACAACCCCCAGACTCCCTTGGCCAACTCTGAGGTGAAGCTGAAGATGAATTCTCGAGTTGTTGGGGGCATCATGACTGGGGAGAAGAAAGATGGCTTCTCAGATCCAGTCATCTACACTCTGGAGAACATTCAGGTTTGTGAAGAGGTCGCTACTGAGATTCCCGTCTACCTGTGGGAACTCCTCATCGCTCAGTTGCCTTAACTGTCGTTTTTTTATGGGAAGCTATTGAGGCGGTAAGCTTCCACAGTTTCTAGCAATTCAAGCCAATTAACAGAAGCCACCTCTAGTGGAATGACCTCTCCCACTGTTACCAAACAGAACTAGGTCCATTTGGTCCACTGAAGGACCGGGTTTTTGTAGAGAGAAAAGTTTATTGCAAGGCTGCCAAGTGAGGAGACAGGAGTCTGGCTCAAAGATGTCTCCCCAAGCTGGGGAACTGGGGCAGGTTTTATAGTCAATGGGTAATGAGCTGTGATCTGATTGCATCTTGCAATGAAGTGATGGTGGGAGGTGTGATCTGATTGGATCCTGCCATGGGTAATGCTAAGTTTTGATCTGATTGGATCCCAGATCCTGCTATGTAGTGCTGCTCCTCCTCTTCCTCCTCCTCCTCCTCCTCGTTCTTCTGAGATGGAGTTTCACTCTTATTGCCCAGGCTGGAGTGCAATGGTGTAATCTCGATTTACTGCAATTTCTGCCTCTCTGGTTCAAGTGATTCTCCTGCCTCAGCCTCCTGAGTAGCTGGGACTACAGACACCCACCACCATGCCTGACTAATGTTTGTATTTTTAGTAGAGATGGGGTTTCACCCTGTTGGCCAGGCTGGTCTCGAACTCCTGACCTCAGGTGATCTGGCTGCCTCGGCCTCCCAAAGTGCTGGGATGACAGGCATGAGTTACCACACCCAGCCTCTGGTAAACATTCTTAAAGCATATTGCTGTTCTTAAGCTGTTATTAAAAATATTTCTCTACTAACTTGGTTTTTATATGTTTTTCTTCCCACTGTACTATGATCTCTTTGGGGGAAGAATTTTATGTCTATTTTATTTACTAATGTCTCCCATAATCAGTACAGATCGAGGCATGCAATAGGTATTCAATAAAAATGCATTGAACAAGGCTGGGCATGGTGGCTCGTGCCTGTAATCCCAACACTTTGGGAGGCCTAGGTGTGCGGATCACTCGAGGTCAGGAGTTCAAGACCAGCCTGGCCAACATGGAGAAACCCTGTCTCTACTAAAAATACAAAAATTATCTGGGTGTGATGATGCATGCCTGTAATCCTGGAATTTTGGAAAGCTGAGGCAGGTGGATCACTTGATGTTAGGTGTTTAAGACTGGTCTGGCCAACATGGGGAAACCCCATCTCTACTAAATATACAAAAATTAGCCAAGCATGGTGGTAGGCACTTGTAACCCCAGCTACTCAGGAGGCTTAGGCAGAAGAATTGCTTGAACCTGGGAGGCAGAAGTTGTAGTAAGCGGAGACTGCACCGCGGCACTCCAGCCTGGGCAACAGAGCGAGACTGTTACACACACACACACAAACCCCACACGTTGAATGAATAAGTGAATAAATGAATGACTTTGCAGAAAGCCTTATTATGGATTTGGTGAAAGGAGGAGTTTTCTTCTAGCAACAGGACCGTAAGCTGCCCCATCAGACTGGCCCTCATTGCATAATGAAATATTTTTTGTCCCATTCCCTCAGAACATACCCTGTGTATTCTCGTTCCTAGTGATTCTTGAGGATGGTAACATTTAATCCATTTGAGGGGGATTCACAGATGACCTGGGCCTTTTTTTTTTTTTTTTCAGCCAAAGCAGAAGTTTGAGAGGCCCATCTGTGTTTCCTGGAGGACAGATGTGGAGGGTGGGAGATGGACACCCTCTGGCTGTGTGGTCCTGGAAGCTTCTGAGGTGCATACCATCTGCAGCTGCAACCACTTGGCAAATCTTGCCATTATCATGGCGTCTGGGGAGCTCACGGTCAGTAATGAGGATTTGTTCCCTGAGGCAGAATATCTGCCTTCAAATCCAATGTGAAAATATTGATTAAACATCTGTTGTGTGCCTTCCATGGGGTTGGGTGTTGATGGAGTCATGGGGACAGAAGGGGTAGGTGATATGCCTTTGCAGAATTTACAGTCTGATTGGGAAGTCACGAAACTCAAATATAAAATGAGAAATAATGACCCTAAATAGGGCCAGGCACTATAGCAATCACAGGTCTTACTTTTTTTTTTTTTTTTTTTTTGAGACAGAGTCTCGCTCTGTTGCCCAGGCTGGAATGCAATGGCATGATCTTGGCTCACTGCAACCTCCACCTCCCGGGTTCAAGTGATTCTCCTGCCTCAGCCTCCTGAGTAGCTGGGATTATGGGCCCCTGCCACCACACCCAACTAATTTTTGTAGTTTTAGTAAAGACAGAGTTTCACCAGGTTGACCAGGCTGGTCTCAAACTCCTGACCTCCAGTGATTCACCCACCTCGGCCTCCCGAAGTGCTGGGATTACAGGCGTGAGCCACCACATCTGGCCCTCATAGATCTTACTTAATGAGCACCTACAGTGTGCTGGACTTTTTAAGTTAAGTGGTTTTAGAGTCATTTCACAGGATGGGAGACCAAGGGGTCAGTGGCCTGTCTAGTAAGAATTCAGAGGTGTTTCCAAGAGCGCAGATGATAGATCAGGGGGAAATAGAATATGAAATAAGCCTTGGTGAATGAGTCGATTTGGCAGAGAGGAAGGACATCCTCATTAGTGTTGTAGAAAGTATCCTTTCCTATCATAATAGACCCAACATTTAATGCCCTACCAGGAAGGCCTCATGTGGCATTTTGAGGACCACTTGGCTTAGGATTTAAGAGAACTGGATCCAGAGCAAAACTGACTTAGTTTCAAGTCCTGTCTCTACCACTTTCTAGCTTTCTTGGAAAAGTCACTTAACATTTCTGTGCTGAGCCCAGCTCTGTCATCTCAAAAATGAGAACAACAAAAAATAATGACAATAACTAACATTTATATGGTTTGCTTCTGGCACAATTGTACTTTAAATGTTTTCATTTAATCCTCCTAAAACAACTCTCTAAGGCAGTTACCATTAATATTTTCTTTTTAACAGATGGGGAAACTGAGGCATAGAGCAGTTAAGTGTCTTGTCCAAATTCACACAACTAGACAATGGTCAGTTTTCTTTTTCTTTCTTTCTTTCTTTCTTTCTTTTTTTTTTTTGTGACTGAGTTTCACTCTTGTCCTCCAGGCTGGAGTGCAATGGCATGATCTTGATCTTGGCTCACTGCAACCTCTGCCTCTCAAGTTCAAGTGGTTCTCCTGCCTCAGCCTCCCAAGTAGCTGGGATTACAGGGGCCCATTACCATGCCCAGCTTTTTTTTTCATTTTTAGTAGAGATGAGGTTTTACCATGTTGGCCAGGCTGCTCTTGAACTCCTGACCTCAGGTGTTCCATGCACTTTGACCTCCCAAAGTGCTGGGATTACAGGCATGAGCCATTGTGCCCAGCCAATGGTCAGTTTTCTTAACCACTTTGTGACAGTATCATAGAGAGGTACTCAGAAGATGGTGCCTAGCATATGTTTCACCCACAGAAAGCCCTCAGATACATTTAAAATTCATTTTAAAATTAATTATGAATAAATGGCATAGAAGAAGGACTTAGTGTGTCATGTTCCACTCCCAAAGTTGGAGCATTCTTGAATGTCTGCATTATCAGTTGGGATTCAATACAGGAAGCAAAACCACTCCAGGTAGTTCAAGCAGAAACGGATTTAACACAGAGAACTGGGTGCTCACAAAAATCTCTGGCAGAGGATGGAGGAGTTGAAGTCAGGTGGCTGCCGCTTGGATTTTGGCTTCAAGGTCATCCCCCAATGCAGCTGTAACTCAGAAATTGCTGATGTCATTTTGCCATCCCACTCCACCATGAAACTGGGGACTGGACAGTTGAAATGTGGAATTAAGCCACAGCTCACTCCTGTCTGCAGAAAGCTGATATTTGCCTCCCTTCTGCATTCCAAAACTTTCACAGATCTATCTCACTGGAGAACCTAGATTATATCCAGGACCTTAGTTCTAAAGGATTCTGGGAGATGTAGTTTGTGGACATACAGCCCCAGTAAAACATGGAGTAGTGCGTAGGACACAGCTGGGAACAGGTGTTGGTGGATGCCAGTGGATTGCAAAGGATAATGAAGGACAAGATCTAGCTCATTCTGAGTGTTAGAGGAAAAAAAGGCCCCCAAGCTAATTTTGCCTGAGCGAGGGTTTTGGATAACTCTTTTTCTCCTCCTGGGGGGATTTTGATCCTGTTCTCAGATCCCAACTATGGAATTCCTTCTTGACAGATGGAGTTCTCCTTGTACATCATTAGCCACATGGGCATCATCATCTCCTTGGTGTGCCTCATCTTGGCCATCGCCACCTTTCTGCTGTGTCGCTCCATCCAAAATCACAACACCTACCTCCACCTACACCTCTGCGTGTGCCTCCTCTTGGCCGAGACTGTCTTCCTCGCCGGTATAGACAAGACTGACAACCAGGTCTACATTGCCCGGGCTATGTCCTCACCGAGTCCCATCTTCTCCCCATCTGCCTCAGCTCATTCCTACCCAACTCCCTCTATGCCTGTTCCTACCTCAGGTCCTTTGCATATGCTGTGCCCTCTGCCTGTAACACTTACTTCCAGCTTCTCACCTGCTTGAGTCCTTGTGACAGCTCTCAGTTTAAATTACATCCCTGATCTTGTAATGAATTGTAGTGGTTCCTCCTATTACTTGTTTTTTGTTTGTTTTGTTTTTGTTTTTTTGTTTCTATTTTTGAGACAAGTTTCACTCTTATTGCCCAGGCTGGAGTGCAATGGCACAATCTCAGATCACTGCAACATCCACCTCCTGGGTTCAAGCAATTCTCCTGCCTCAGTCTCCC